TATTATTATTATTGTTATTATTATTATTATTATTACAGTATTATTATTATTATTATTATTATTATTATTATTATTATTATTATTATTATTATTTTATTATTATTATTAGTATCAACATCACCACCCAGTTGTGGCTCCAGAAATTTGCCTACAGGGGGTTCGCATGTCGGACAGGGGATCTGGACAATGGCCGAATAAGAGCCTCGGACAGGGCACCGGGATGAAAAGTACGGGGTCACGGAGAGAGTTTTTGTGGCTTAGTATAGCCCAAATTGTGTTTTAGACAATAATATTAGAGATTAAAAATCAGAATAACGTTATGTGGACAGCCATATTTTTTTTGTTCTCACAACATCGCCATGGCGTCGTACGACAGGGGTCCAGGCCTGTCCGACGGGGTGGAGGAACCCTCCGCTGTGGCACAACTGTCACCACCACTAATGATATCCTAAGATGTGTTGATCGAAACTGAAACCATGCCATTCCTGTACTAGCTCTTAACCTTGAGGTCAGTGGCACCTCTTACCTTACAAAGTATTGCCCTTGTGTCTTTTGCCAAAACACTTTAACTACTTGACTCTCCACAATATTTCCGAGAGTTTTTTATTGTTATTGTTCTTAATAAATTACTAACATTTCTCATCATTCGAATAAAACTTCAGGGGGTTTATTATTGAGAAGGGTTTTGAGTAAGTGTTTATTGGAAGACTTTTTTTTTTGTTCTGGATTTTTCTTTTAATAAAATGGATACGCATGTAGTTAAATAAATGCCCCATAATTTCACTGTCAATATAAAACATGATTACCATCAAAATGTGTGATTGCGTGATCATAGATTTATTGATCCCAACCAGGTGAGAAAAAATGTAATACTGGAGTAGAATATCAATAGAATGTGTTGAGAATGATTTTGCTTCCATTAGGTTTATTTACAGTCATTTAGGGGGAGGAGGAGTTTATTCGATGTAAAAATAAAAGCATCAGGGTGCTTATTTGAGGGAGGCATTTATTCCAAATGAGGCTCTAGTGGGGTGACTAGAGGGGGCGTGTATTCAAATAAACTTATTATATCAGGATATTTACAGCTAAGAAGTAAGTTAAGAAAGTATAATACATACCGTACTCCAAGTATTGAAATGCACGTCATCATGTTGGGAATCCCAACACGATGGCGTGCATTTCAATACTTGGAGTATGTATTATACTTTCTTATCTGAGATTAATCAGTGGACCTTTCGGTTTTTAAGAAGTAAGTTCGTGTAAAAAATATCGTTGTGTTTTTTTTTTCTTTTGTATAGTTACAACCCTACTGATGTTGCAACGGACAACCTCTACAGTTACACCCGGATACATATCAACAGAAAACCCCATTGACATTGGTAGGTTTTATAGAAAGTTCTACCAATAATTAAATAATAACAATTTTTATTATTGTTATTATTATCATCATCAACAACAACATTAATAATATTATTATTGTGGTAGTTTAGTTGGACGGTACAATTACTACTCACCAAGAAAGAGGTCAGCACGAATATGAAAATATATCCTACTGTTAATGATAGTGTTTAGGGTGAAAACCCCAGTTTTTTGGCCAAAATGCTTTCTTGAGCAAAATGTTTCTTGAGCAAAAATGATCTATGATGATTTCAAGAATCACCAAAAAAATTTTACCCTAGCCGGTTCCATCTCACATATTCCAAGAACAATTGCCAGAAAATATTTTTCAGATATTTTCTGTAGCATATGGTCTAGAAGAGAAGAAGACGTAAACATTTGGGCAAAATTGCAGCACCAAAATGGCCGCCAAAATGACACCAAAAAGCTTTAAAATAGCTATAAATTTTCTACTTTTTGTCTCGGAGTTGCAGTTTTTTCTCAACTGAGCCCACCTCAAATTTGATCTGAAATGATTAAATAATAATTTCAAAAAATGAAATTCCCAAAATGAAATCCAAAAAGTTTCCTGTAGAGTTCCGCAATGGAGTCTCCTAGAAATTGACAGCAAGGACTCTCGTATTAATCACCAATCTCCCGAAATAAACCATCTTCCGGAAATTCATGATGATATTTGCATGCTTTTACAAGTTTTTACTACTGTATGATCAATTGTCTCCCAGCAATTAGTGCCAATCATAATGGTTATCACCATGCACAGCAAAATAGGCCTATACTTAGATGTCTTAAGAAACTTATTTAAACTATGGAGATTTCCCGGATGTGGATTCTTCCAAATTGGAACACCTGTCGAGTGCCGGTCTTTGATTATAGGGATTCTAACACCAAAAGACTATAGTTTTGGCAGAGCAAACTGAAAATATTCTACTATCTCAAAAATATCTGGTGTGAGGGAGACCTGCAATAGGATTGAGAAAAAGGTCGTCCGGCCAAAGCCGGTGCGGCCTGTACAGTTCCGACGGCCCTGGTTAAAATATAAGAATAAGTCTGATATAAGAATAAGTCTTATATTAAATATTCTCAATCCTACACTACTGTAAGTGATGTACTACTAAACACATTTGCCTGTATACAAAACAGAAATATATAAATATTTGTATATAAGCCATGATATAATAGAGAAGACCGCATAGACAGGAGAAGGTTTTGGTTTGGGGGAACTTCATTTCCGCAAACCTGCACTCCCAGATTCCTCTTCTTTAACGTTCAAAATTTACATTTGTTTATTAAATAGGTTCGGTACGGTATGTACGTATGTATGCACCGTAAACACATGTAAGCAAATAGTAAATATATTAGTTCTCGAATGTATACATTATATATACACACACACACCCACACGCCCCTACACACACACACACACCCACACACACACCCCACATCCCCCCACACACACATACACATACACACATACACACACACACATTTCATGTCCATACTGAAGAACAACAGTTAAACCAATACAAATACATATAAATGTAAGACAAAAGTGAAAAATAGACTGAATCAAGAAAAACATCAAGATCAGGAAATCATCTTAATGCACGACAATGTTCCACTAATTATACATTTTAGAATTGGAAAGAGCATACCGTAATGCTTATGGCCAAAATGATTGAATTAGAGCTGATTTTCACACGGTTCCTGAAACTATGTATAGAGTTTCTAAGGTACTCGTCACAGGGCGGTACGGTACACCATTGGATACAAACATAAAACTCGCACTGCAGTGCCTCGGTTGTCGCAGTAGACCTAATAAACGAAGGGCATTATTATAGCAGACATTTAACGATCTTATTGTACCTTTGTTATATCTACATCAAAGAGTAGAACAATACATACTAACACAGTAGCATTTAAACCAATAACATTTAGTCGTCATAAAGCATTTACCAAATTTCCTACCGAGAGAGTTAGCTCTTATACATATCGAACGGTATTGACGTTTAATGTCACACTCATCGCTTTAGGTTATTGTGTATAACGTGACCAAGGTAGGTAATAGAGTTAACAAATAACAAAGGGGATGATTTAAGTGTAATACGAGGCTCGCCTTGCAGGTTACGCACCTTAGGAAAGATTACCATACATTTTGATTTAGACTCATTAAACGTGATATCATAATCACTAGCAAATGTATCACAAATACCAATAAGACTTTGTAGTCCTTCCAGCCAGTTTTGGATCAATGATAAACCGATGTGTTGGTGTATCATTTCAAATTGACTTATCCCACCTTGCATATCATTAGACTGAGCCTATATGGTCTGCCACAATTGAATCGGGTCTAACCATGACAATACTGTACTACAACTTCGTTACAGATGAAGCTGAGGAGGAAATATCAAGTAAGCCTAACCAGAATTCACTTGAATCTTTAGACTCTAGTTATTAGTACTGTAAGTAACTGTTTCATTTAAAAACCTCTTCTAAGATAACTGACCGGGAGGCACATTTTTGCATGCAACTGATTAGGAACTTTTTCGCTGACAAAGGCTCTACAGGGGCGGATCCAGACTTTTTCAACGGAAATGGGGGAGGTGCACACAACATTTTTCAGAGTAGACGAGTGAGTAGCGCTTATTTCAATACATATTATTGATATGTATTGAAATTTAAAATTTAGTAGCAAAATGGGGGTGGGGAAGGGGAACGCCTCCCTACTGGATCCGCGCCTGCTCTATGCTTTATTTGGTTATAACAGCATTTATTCCTATATTTAAATTATTTTTCCAATAATATATTCATCTAGGCCTATTCGTTTTTACATTGTGTATTTACCTTCCTCTACTTCCGCTACAACAGCTACAGCTCTCTCTAGCCTAACCCCCTTATACATATCACACCGCGTCGTTAAAAAATATGAGAGCGTATTACATTGACTTCCATCAAGTAGCCTATATATACTCATGTGTGTACGGTGGGGGGGGTGTAGTGTTTATGTTTATACAACTTGATATTAGTAATTTAATTTGAATCAAAATAAACCTATGTTATTGGTTATTTTTATTTCATTATAGAATGGATTGGTCCACCGCCTGAGATAGTTTCCAGTGTCTATCTTGTGTGTGTACTTTTAAGTACGGAGTCTTTATATGTGTGTAAATATACAGTAGATAATACAATTATAACTCATATTATTGTTGTTGCTGTTGTTACTGTTGCCTCATCCCATCGAGTAGGCAACGGCCACAAGTCAATTTTGTCAAGTTATGGCCGCCAGCTTGTGGTTGATAGATTTTTGTATTGGTCGAACAAAGTTTACCAATGTCGAAAGAATGATAATACTATTTCTGCTTTATTTGTCATTTACAAATTCAGCCAATAACAAGTCTCCTAGCCTGTAGTAACAGGATCGACGGTGGTACATGACTTAGGCCCAAGCAAAATTGACTAAATTATTTCTTCATTCGTATCATAACGTTATTGTTCCTATACTAAACATGTTATATTCTTCAATGGTTATTGATTTACTTATTGACAATGCACTTAAACATATTATGATAAGTTTATGCTTATATTATATATCGTTTTTATTTTCGAATAATAAATATACAAGTAATTAGATTTCCAAAGCATAAATGTATATACAGAAAAGAAACATGCATGAGTTGTACAGCAAGTAGTGTAATAATTCTAAATGTACATAGACACGTCTTGCTTTGCTGTTTAAATTTTAAATTGTACTCTAAGCGGCCTACTATAGTAATTGGGCCTAAAATGCTTACTAAAAACAGTTATACATCAAGCATACCATAAATGCTCGAATAGGCCTAAGCGTCGCTCTCGAATTAGGGCCGCACCAAACTTGATTTTTTTTACCTAAGCGCCGATCTCGAATAAGCGCTTTATTGAGAGTATATTACCCTGTGTGTAACACTTTGAGAAACAGGGTTTTAAATACAATGTATACAGTGTTAAAATGGATAAATAACCCAATGAAGACAAAAACATTTCTTTGTAAACGTTTATTTACGATGACGTAGGACCTAAAATGATAGGCTTACTGAACTACGGGAATACGTGAGATAGGTAACCCGGGAATGGACATAAAAGCGCCACACCAATGTGTTTTTTAATAAGCACCGCTCTCGAATAAGCGCCGCACTGAAGCCTCCAAGAATTGTATAAGCGCCGTGGTGCTTATTTGAGCATTTGTCGTAGGCTAATACTGAGCAGTTCGATTTTAGAAATAGCACATTCATACGTCAACAAACAATTTCATAGAACAAAGAATATAGTTACCGGGCTTAGCACTCCAGTTAATGCTAAAACTATTATTTAAATCCTTCCTAGTTAATCTGTTTTATTTGTAGTTTTCATAGGAGAAACACATCTAGGCTTAGTTAACGAGAATTCAAGTTCAAGACATCGATTAAAAACATTCCTTTTTATTCATGTAAAGAACTATTTGATAAACAAACTCTTTGGTTTCCTTAGAATGAAAAATGATTATATGCAACGTCAAAAAATCAAAATAAAAAAAAAGTTTGTTGTTTAAGGAGTTGGATACATGTAACTTTGACACATATAAAGTGCTGTAAGCATACAATAGATATCCTTCTGCGTGCGTTTTGAAAAATTTAATTCTCCTTCAATAAATAGGCCTACATAGGAAGCAATCGGTAGCATTCACAAATTGCACTCGGAGCCAGCAGTTAATGGATGAGATGCCACCACGTGAGCCTTTAACGCATTCTTTTGATAGAAGTCTTTTCCACAATATTGGCAGAGAAATGGTTTTCGATCAGCATGAGTGCGGCGATGGGTATTCAGAGTACTGGCAAGGGTGAACCCTTTGCCACATATCTCACATTTATAAGGTCTTTCCCCTGAAAAATATAAACAATTAATAATTGTTATAATGGAGTAGAGTTGAATAGCTTGGTGGCTGAGATGATTGCCTTCAATCCCAGGTCCTGGGTTCAATTCCTGTGACACAACAGCACTATCTACCCATTTGTTACGCTACTCTAAGATGTGTATAAGAGACCTGTATAGGCCTATATACGTTTGTACAAATTGTTAATATTGTTAAAATTATATTTGTTCAATTCAATCAAGTGTGTAATATACGATAGTAGTTAGCGTAGAAGTAAATTAAAACACTGATATATAAACGACTTTTTACCTGTATGTCCATAAATATGAGCCTGGAGGTTTCCTTTTTGGTTGAAGCCTTTGCCACAGTATGCGCAAGTGTACATTTTGACGTCAGAGTGCGTCCTCATGTGATAGGTTAGATGGGTGAGTTGTTTAAACCCTCTGCCACACCTTTTGCACTTGTGTGGTTTTTCACCTATGGCAGAAAAAAAAATGAATAATTAAAAATAGTCGAAAAAAGATCGTTAATATCTTCGTTATTTGTTTCAGCAGAAAGAAATGTAGATTTATAACACTCAGATGAACTAAACATTTCACAAATTGTAACAAATGAACCCAACTATAACTTCTGACCATGCTTCTGACAAGCTTAGATAAAAACAGAAGAGGGCGCTAAGCAGTACTGAGCATTAAGTATTGGCTAAAAACGTAACCCGCGAGGAACACGAATTAACATTCAAGTAGGCCTAATCTTGATAGCAATCTGATTTAACGAAGATTAATTTTTACAGTTAGTAAGTTTACAAATATTAGACAAAATATTAAAAAAAAACCATATAAAATATATTTTTTAAAAAACATATAAAGTTGTCCAAACGAGATTCGAACTCATGACGTTTTTACTTTATCCAGGGAACTGTTAAATTTTAACTGTTCTCTGCTTTCTCAAAGCTTTATTTCCTCTTAATACACAATTAACAAGTAAACCATTATATACGGTACACTAACCTGTATGGGTATATGAGTGTATTTTCATGTCGATCTTTTGATGGAATCCTTTGCCGCAGTATTGACACACAAAAGGCTTGTAGTTTGTATGAGTGCGCATATGCGTATGCAGATTAGACGCACGGTTGAATGCCTGTTGAAGGTAATTTTTTCTAGAGTTAGCAATGTTTTTTCAATAAGAATAACAGTAATATTTCATTAAACATAGATTAAGCATACCAATTGCATAAGGTTTGATGCGGACACATACCTTATAGTTCATTTTTAATACCTTAGTGGTCTTGTTCAAGTAAAAAATATCATGATGAACATAACACTTGTACTAACCTTTCCACATTGGGAACACACGTAAGGTTTCACTGTTGTATGAGTAAGTCGATGACGAGTTAAGTTTCCAGGTTGACGAAATGCGCGCCCACACATTTCGCATTTGAAGGGTTTGTCCCCAGTGTGTATGCGCTGTGGAAGAACAACCAGTATGACGTAACTATATTACAATTAAACTATTGTCACACGTTTCATTCCTACCTTATTACGTTGTCTAAATATAGTCAATCTGCTTATTGTAATTTACAAATTTAGGTCAAAGATAGTTTAAAACAATTGTACAATGTGCCCCGACACAATTGTGAGAGCTCTTCGACTCAACTGACCAATCAGCATTACCGACAGCTTTCGGAGAGAGCGTGTAGCGGTTTAATGGAAAGAATGCCTTTCTATTTATGGGCACACAAAATTTGTCAACTTCACGTTCTTAAGAGGAAAAAGTTGTACATACCCATCTGCATTTTGAATAATGTTAAACAAGTAGATAATCTTTAATCTTTAATGTTGTCATTTCGAAATCTTTCCAAATGTTCTACATCTTACCTTATGAGTCACCAGCGTATTACTTCTGCTGAACCCCTTTCCACAAACATCACACATATATTTCTTCAACTGTTGCGTTTTGTTGTCGGTAGCATCTTCGTCATTAGCGGTTAAGGTGTTTCCTACAACTGCTCCCTCGGCATCTTGTGGTGTCACTTGGCACTCAGTCTTTATTGAACCTTCAGATTCTTCGGAGCCAGTTTCATTGCATTCACTTTCTATCATGTCTCTCAATTTTGTATCATTTCCATTCTGTATGTACTCGAGTCCGGGTACCGGGGCTCGCGCCTGTCGTTTATGTCCTTGGTGGCCGAAATACATTGACCCACGAATTGATACTAAATGTTGTTTTAAGAACTCTTTGTGAAGCTGCCCTCCTACAAGCTCTGATGGCGAAACGATGCTAGGCATTGGTAGACGGTTGTCAAACCGTTTAGAATGTTCCGGAATTGGCGACACAATAGGTATATTCTGATTGTCAGAGTCGGATACCAGAAAAGGAGTCTCATTAGAAGACATTCTTTCGGCTATAGGGATAGTATTATATGACTTATATAGATGTTTTTCTGATTCTAAATGAGTTTTAAACGCAGAACTGTGGTTCATGGCGTAAGGGAGCGGTATTGGTATCTTATAAGGTACGTATTGTCGCAGCTGTGGTACATAATCTTCGATACGTTGTTTCATTGGACTTTTGCAGAAAACTGGTAGCTTCTCTTCGTACGATAAAACTTTCTTTTTACTGATGAACGTTAGCTCATGACTAGTAACAGTTGAGCTGTGTGGTAGACTTTTATTGATGACGTCTCGAGGTGGCAAATCAAAGAATTCTCGTAGGTGATGTGCATGCCTCATTGGTGATCTCGCCACTGCATCGGAATCATGCCTAATAAAAAGACGTTGAACTGGTTTGAATGCAGATGGGAGATCCCCTGGCAGGATCGGCTCAGACCTGTGACCAGACAAATCCAAAGGCATGTCTTTGTGGTCATTCTCTATTTTTACGCAACTTGTAATTTTTAACACATCACCTGCAGTAGTGTGCTCTTTTGGAGCGAGGCTACTTTCTGATGTATCGGTACTGTGTTTATCGTCAACAGTAGAGCGTTCAGAACTTCGAGGAAAAGGTTCGGCTACATATAAGGGAAACAGCAATTTGGTGCCTGTTACAAACAAAATCAACAATTATTATTTTTTAATACAATCCCTCATAACTATAATAATAATATTCATGGAAGAGCTATTTTCTATCTACACCGGTCCTACATAATTTCAACCTATCAGTCGAGTGGCCATGAGAATTGATTTTTAATTGTTACAGACGTACCATCGATAAAATGTTTCAGATCATAAATCTATTTATAGTTTTCTTCGTTTTCCATCCTAGAATTAGCATTATCCAGGCTTTGTTTAAAATTAGGCCTATGCCTATGTGGAACAATCCATTTTTATTGAACAATGGATGTTTTATATTGTAATAATGAAGAAGAGGAAGGTATAGGAAGTATTTTAGAATGGATACTGCACAATTCGTAACATTATAATAATGTATTCCAAATTATGATTGTTAGTAAGATTGCCACAATTACTCTGGTAACACTGGTAATATAGGCAGTTAGCTCCGTAAAATGTTGTAATAAAGTATACACTTATTTAAATAAAGAAAACACACTTACCAAGTGGTGACGGGTATTTAAATAGGACATCATTTTCTTGTCTTCCATGCCGATTTTTAACTAAGAAGGCTCGTGGCATTTTCAATGAACCTGTTGATGAAAATGTAGTCGTAACTGTCAACTAAAGAAAAATAAACCAAAGAGCTATTGTAAACTTATGCTTAACCAGACATGAAGAAGATCTACATTTTTATTGTCTGTGTTTAAAACATGAAACAATTCGGACATTAAAATACACCTTGTTGAAATATTTCCTCCCCGCCTAAATATAATAGTTGTTCATAATTAATTTGCACATTTTTGGTTTATACGTAAATAGCATAACGAAGCATTGCTAAAAATATCTTGATAAGATTGTTATTCACGCATTAAGTGGTTCATCATTTATTACCAGCGTCAATCAATTCTATGACGTACTTTTTACAAACAAGAATTTTTTTAAACTGAACTAAGTGAGTACTAAGTAATCAACAATAAATACAATTGCGGTCCTATACCTTGTTCTCTCTGCTGCTACCTTAGATGTTTATAGGTTTTCCAGTCAGCACTTGTTAATTAATGCGCTTAACTTTTGCATACATAATAATAAAATCGAATAATATACGTCACACAACAGCACTATCTACCCATTTGTTACGCTACTCTATGGTTTTTGTTTGAGTTAAATAATCCTTGTCTTTGTCCATCGGTTCTTTCCTCATTTTCTGAATCTGCTTTTGTTCTTGGAGTTCACTATGTTAGCTTTAAGCTCGATCATTCTGTAGAGATTTATTTAATTCGTTTTTCGAGATAAAGGGAGCTCAACGACATAGTGAAAGTAACTTTACTTTTGGACAATGCAAAACCATTGCTTTACGCGTTTTCTAATAATTTTGTAATGATATGAAAAAATTACAATATGATAGTCTGTTCTTTTATATAGGACTATACAAATGATAGTCCTAAAATAATTATATTAATTCAAATTATCCTACAGGCTACATAATCATTTATTCTAATATTAAGTAGAAGCATAAGCGAAATTTGACTACTACAAGACTGAATAATTTCATCTTAAAACACTAACATTCCACGGAAAATAATAAAGATAAAAACTTCAAAAAACGCAATTGTACAAGACAATGGAATTTTTGGGGTCAGAAGGTAATTTTTATTTTTTTGTTCTATGCAGTCGTGGTCGAGCTCAGTGCGAACGCGCGTGGTGAGCTTTTATGCGGGCGTGCATTCATTTGTTAGAGATCGGGTAGTCATAGCGGTGCTTGATTTTACTAAAACCAATCGCATTCTTCCTCAATCGTTGTTTCTTCCTTTGAAAAAAAAAAGGTCATCTCCCACCCTTCCCATAGTTAGTTATGTGTCAGGTAGGTGGTTTATTGGTCGCCAACCTTGCATTATAACACCCTGTTCCAATCTTGGGGTTTTATTATGCGCTGTGTTACTCTAGTAGCACTGTCCATCCGGCCACTCTTGTGTGCCCGTTATCGCCAAACGATTCTTTCATCATTACTTTGGTACGTTTTACCGTATGGACACAAAAAAATATAGTACGAAAAAAATGGTTATTAAAATCAATAGCCTATGTTTAGATATTTAGAAAACTTTATATTTGGTAAACAATTATTTGTAGTTATAAACCTGAGTTTTTTAAATTTTAACATCATTTTTTATATAAAATTTATATTTATGTAAAGGACAATTATTGAATGTTTTTAATGTTTAGTTGAGGTAATATTTATCATGGATATCGGACACTAATAAGCATTTTCCTTTGACAATTTTATACGCCATTTTTATATATTGGTTTAATTTAAGAAAATTATTTTTAAATAATATTAGAAAATGCCGTATTTATTTTAAAATTATTTATTTTGCTCTTTACATTGTAAAACTGTGTAGTATTAAATATCTGATAATATCTCTATAGTTATATAATGGCTATATTTCATTAAAGGTATGAAAAAATTATTCGAATGAATTAATGTAGGCCTAACTTCTGAACATGCATTTTTTAAAAACTTATTCCAAGTTTATTTGCTGGAATTATTATTTTTGTAGAAACTTATTTGCAATAAAAAAAATTTTTAAAATAAATAATGTAATTTTATTTAAGAAAATTATTTATATAGGCCTATATTTAATATAAATATAAATATATATATATATATATATATATATATATAATTTATTTATTTATATATAAAGTGATTTAAAG